TGGCAAGTGATTCGCATTTATGACATTTACAGTTGTCCAAGGGTCATGTGATCAACCTTCTGACAAGCAAAGTCAACAGGAAAGACAGATTCACTTAACAACCATGTTACCAACTTTACAGCTACGGTGATTCACTTAACAATGGTGTCAAGAAAAATAATAAAATCGGGAAAAATTCACTTAAATGTCTCACTTAGCAACATAAATTTTGGACTCAACTGTGATTGTAAGTCAAGGACTTTCTGTATTTGTCAGCACCCAGATAACTATCAAGTTTGTATAAGCCAGTGATGGCTAACCCTTTTCCCATTGCGTGCCAAAAGCGAGGGGGAGCGCAGGGGGGTTGTGCGCAGGCATGCCCACACCCTCAATTCTATACGTCCTCCCCCTCCCGGTTTTGGCATGTGGTCAACCCATTTTTCGCCCTCCCCAGGCTCCAGAGGTTTTCTAGGAGCCTGGGGAGGGCAAAAACGGCTTCCCCTGCCCCCCCCAGAGGCGTTCAGGAGGGTTTCCTGAAGCCCCCGGAGGGCGAAAAATGGCCGAAAATGAAGGGCGAAGTCAGCTGGCCAGCGCAAGCATGCATGCTGGAGCTGACAGGGCAACACCACACATGTCCTAACAAATGGCTCTGCGTTCTACCTATGGCACGTGTGCCATAGGTTTGCCATCTCGGGTATAAGCCATAAAGGTTTGAGCCACCCTCAAACCTTTTAACAACTATTTTATTGTCACAAATCTTGGTTATACAACTGACATTGCTTTCTTTCACACCCACAGTCCCACCAGAAGACCAAGTATCCGAAAAATTTCACCGATAAAGAGACAGAACCTAGCCTGTACTCTTATTTTAATAACATCACACTGCATGTGGTTTATAATAAAAATAAAATAAAAATATTTCAATCTATGTGCCTCAACTTTTCATCTCCTAATTTAGTGTAAGGGATGCAGCAAAATCACCTGCTTAAAAAAGAGCATTTTTCTTCCCATGAACCATCAGACCATCCATGGTGTATGGAGCGCAGGTGGTGGCTCAGAGGAGAATATAACCCATCCCTTATCCTGCATCTTCCTGTGCAGAAAACAAAATCTTGCAGTTCTACCTAGAGAAAAAAAATCCCTAGTAGAACCTCCATCTCTTTGGTCTTATATAGAAATTTCAGAATGCAGAATCAAGAGAAGGTCTTTGAACAATCCATTTAACTCCCTGAGAGAGAGCGAAGCCCATTATGCTACTGTTATGGCTGCCTAATTAAAGCTTCAATTGGTTTTAGTTGAAATATTTTCTCCTACTGATGCAGGAAAAGAGAATTTCAAGGCCAGAAGCTGGCTTGGAGCTATCCATGGTTCTGGTTTTAGCTTTTGGCTTGCTCTGGCCTGTTGTGATGGAAATCTGTAACTTGACCCAACCTTGACTGCAAAGATTTGGGTGTTTTATTAGGTCTCTCCGTACTAAAATCCAATCTTGCCTGATGTTATTTCTGTCAGCCTCAAATAATTAAAAAAAAACTTTTAAAATTCACTCAAGAATGGGATTAGATGAATCTTTACTTCTGATCCAGCAAAGTAAATGAAGACTAAAGGAAGCTTGCTTGTTTACTTATTTATTAGCAATCTCTATAATCCACCCAAATCCCAAAAGACTCTGGGTACAACAGCAAATAAACAAAAACAAAATAAAGAGTGATAACAAACATCACCGGCTATACACCCAATGTAGATTCTATCAATCAGACCACTTAAGAACTGAGTTATTTATTTACTCAATTTAAGAACTGAAAGAGTTATTTATTTACTCAATTTATAAGCCACCTCAGTCACCATAGCAACTTTTAGATCATGGGAAATCATAAATAAATTTAAAACAACAAAATGAGAAAATAGTCACAATAAAAGTATTATGAGCCTGCATCAATGAAACAACCCAACGATCGCACAGCCTACCAACAGAGCCTTAACAGCCTTTCTGCACGAAAAATAAGTCCATAATATCATCACCTGTGGATCAGGGGCTGAGATACACAACTGGGTATTGTCTGCACACTGATGCTCCCTGGCCCCACCCAGCCAGAGAGGCTCAGATAATGGCCTCATATGGCTTTTGATTAGGAGCGGGGAAATGTACTCAGTCCCGAAAGCCCAACAATGCAAACAAGAGTAGCCAGTCCCAGCTGATCAGGAGGAAATGGGGATTTTGCAGTAACTTTTCCCTGGAGTCGGGCCGGAAGGGAGATTTTACAGTATCCTTCCCCTGCCACGCCCACCAAGCCCCGCCCACCAAGCCACACCCACAGAACCGGTAGTAAAAAAAATTTGAATCCCACCACTGTGGGACATGTACATTCGTGAGTAAAATAACTACATGTTACCAATAAAGGAGAACATTTGCAGCTCAGGGCCTGAAGTGAGAAGTCCTTGGTACTCTCTGAGCTTAGTTGTTTTCACATCCTTGGGCGACACAACCAAGCTTAGAGAGCATTAAGTACC